ACTTATGTACCTGTGTACTATGTATAATACATACATACATATATAGCTGCTAGCTTTTTTGATTGCTGTCAAACGGCGGTCAGCGGCCAACCGCCGCTACTTGGAGCACCCTCGCGCGCGCACTTCCATTCTATGTACATACAATTTTTGTACCTCTTGCCAATACATATTTTCGACATCTCTCTCGGTTCATCTTTCTCTACGCTTACGTGCTCTCTGCTTGGTTTTGCTCTGGCTATTCTAGCACAACAACAAAACAACTTGTGCGCTCTCACCTTAACCCACCCACCCTGCGACTGCAGCTGCACCCAAAACGGTGAGCCGTCCGCCGCTTCTTGTACAACTGCTGCTGCCCGAGTATTAGTCCATGTAGAGCGTATGCACGGTTTGACGTTCGCATTTGTCCGCCTCTGCTTTGTACGTTGCTTTAGTGTTTCGTTTGTTTTGCTGCAAGTTGTTTGCCTGTTCTTTCCCCCATCTTCACATCGCGTTTCCCTCTTTAACCCAAGCAATTAGTTCATGATGCGGCGGTACTTGCCAGAGGATGTGTCGTGTTGTACATTGGCATAAACTACATATAGTGATGAACAAAAGTAATGGTACAGAGAATTTTTCGAATGTATGCAAAGTTTTTTATTCTAATTCCTTTTCGCGATTTTTTTGTGCAAAACTCAGGAAAATTCAACAAATTTCCATAATAAATTGCAACTTTATAATCAGATTTTCTAAAAAATTCTATGTATGCAGTTGTATAGCAAATTCAATTTAGCATAACAAATTGCAAGTTTGAAAAAATCTGATTAAAAGTTTCTGAGTTTCGCACAAAGTTTAGAGATTCAATTTTTAAACTTGGCATACGTTGCGAAAAATTCTCTGTATCAATGTTTTTGAACGTCACTGTACATATGTATATCTGCATATACGTGTAGATATTTTTGTGTCTGTGTATGTATGTACATCCATACATATGTATATGAACCCAGTAAGAAAAGGTAATGTTTGGGAATGCAAAAGGTAATGTGTATCTATAACCCATGATAAATTATTCACAGGTTTGTCTTCCCAGAGAGTTTTGCTTTACGTCAAAATTCGTGCTCTCTTATGGCCCCGTCAGAATGGGTACTTTGCTGCTCAAGGATGAAACTGACAGTTGAGTAGACTGTGTGTGTTTGAATAGAGCGCGTCAGAAGGACAACTCTTGCGTCGACGGACCCAACGAACGTTGGCCAACACTCAACTTTTGACAAAAGTAAAGCGCTGGTTATACTTGCATACATTGTTATGTTTATGAGTTTTGCATACAAGCGATTACACGACGTAGCGCATGGCAGGGCATGACAGCGAAGTCTGTTAATTTGAATTTTTTCTCCATGTGACACTTTCGATTGGTTGTATTTACCCTTAGTCCAATATCTATCAGATTTAATGAGAGGTAGTTTGGACACATACATTGGGGCATATTCATAGTCGAAATAAAGTCGATTATAAAGTTAGTTGCTGCTTTTCCATAGACAATTATGTCAAAAACCTGCAACTAACTGTAATGCCGACTTCATTTAGGCTATGAGTATGCATTCTTCGGTTATATCTTCCTTACTAAATCTTGGAGTGCTGGAACAGACTAACTGATTACTAGTGTTGGGCAGTATCGATACCAAAAGTATTCACAACTCGATTCTCAAAAGGATCGACAGTACCCCATTTTTTTAAGTATCGATATTGAGTACTCCAAAGTACTCAGTACTCACAAAAGAACTCGAAAGTACTCAGAACCTAAAGGAACTCAGAAAGTACTAAGTACTCATAAAAGAACTCGCAAGTACGCAGAACCTAAAGGAACTCAGAAAGTACTAAGTACTCACAAAAGAACTCGAAACTATTCAGAACTCGAAAGTACTCAGTACTCAAAAATTCTCTGTTCCAATAATCACTTTGATACATGTACTCAGGATATTTAAAAGTACTGAATAGATACTTAAAAGTACTGAGTTTTATTTACAATTTGAAGTTTAAATAGTTTTCAAGTACCAACAAGTGTATATTTAAAGAAAGTACTCAGTACTCTAAAATATCCGATCTTTAAAAGTATTGATACCAAAAGAACTCGATCCTCAAAAGTACTTGATACTTCCCAACACTACTGATTACAATGAACAGCTGATTCTGGGAGATTATGCGCTTTATCCGGAGTATAATTCCACCCCTGCTTCACATACGCTGCTTGTCCTATGCCTTGCACTGCAATGTAAGTATAACCAGCGCTAATGTCCGGCAACACTGACAGTTGTATAACCTTGTGTTTACACTAGAAAATACAAGAGAGAATATAGGTTTGTTCCACAAGATACTCGAAGTCACTTCGAGTTACACATACGCGTTCCACAAGTAAGTTTTAGAGTTTATTTGATATACGCTGACAGTTTGAACTTTGCTCGAGTTTTTCTACAAGTAGCTAGTGGAACACACTTAATGTATTAATTGCCACATCGTTTGAGTCCCAGACAATAAACTGTCTTCAAAAAGCCAGTGTAAAAAAGTGTAAATGTATTACTTTGTATCTACGAAATTGACTTGTGTAAACCCCAAATACACGGCCTTAAAGAACAGCTGATTTTTGTTTGCAGACGCAACATCTTCATTGTGGCGTATCTCTATGTTACGTACGCCACTTCTTTCGCGTGCTTTTCCGGTATTGACGTACAAGTACCCAGTATGACGGGGCTATTGTTTTAATTTTGACGCATTTCAATTTTGAGTCTTTTACTTTTGATATCTGGACTAGGGTGATATCTAGAACTTTCCATAAATAGCCTTGCTACATTTATAGTATAAATGGTGGTCTGGACACACAACATTGCAAGTGACTGGACACACAACATTGCAAGTTGATAAAAGCGTTGTAAAAAAAAAAACATACTTGAGTTAGTTCTCAAACTTTTTGTTTTTTTTTTGTAGCTTCAAAACTACACATCATCCGCTCGCTTACATTGCGATGCATCTTTTCGTTCAACCGTAGTTGTTAATCTTCTCTTTGCAGATAAAGGTAATGCATTCCCATTTTCTCACTGGGAAGTTCAAAGCACATAACGCTTTTGTTCTTATGTGAGTTCAGTGAAAATCCAATATGTTGTATATACAGTGACAGCGGGGAAGATGGGTATACATATACATATGTAAACAAAAGGCAGCTAACACTAGGCTGCGTTACGTACTGTATTCCTACTACATATCGATGGTCTTCTGCAATAACGGCACAATTCAAAATTCTTAAAAAGCCCCTTACCACTGTTAAGTGACTTATGTCCCTATTTCTTCCCTAACCCATATGTTATCCTTACAAATGTAAGTAGTAAGGTTTAAACACGGACTAGAGACATGAGACACTGAGACAGTAGTAAGGGGTTTTTTTTTAATTTGGAGTTGCGCCGTTATTGCAGAGTACAATCGATATGTATGTATGTATATACAATATGTATACGTGTAAATATGTTTTAACGCATACTTGAGGGGGGTTATGGAGTTTACGCTCTTACTGAATCAGCGAATTTTTCTTTTCCCATATTTTATGCGCTTCTGGATGTAAAGTTTTTATTTTCTTTTCAATTCTTCGTTACTTTATGTTTGTTTTTGTACCTCTTCTATTTTCCTCTACTTTGCAGTATGTTGTGTATCTGTATTTTCGTAAATACGAGGGATATTAAATAAGTCTTTAGATTAACTAAGTAAATACCAATTTTTCGGTTAAAATAGTCTAATGTTTTCCAAATTTTTTGGTTCCTTGGTAAAACATTTTTCCCACAGGCAGGTTGGTACTTCAAAAACAAGGTTTTTGCACGCGTTAACAGCTTCTTCACTTAGGACTTTACAGCGGATGACTCATCAAATTGATCTTATTTTTTTTGGTTCTTAAAAATGCATTTGTTTGACTAGATGTGTGAGAGCTCGCATTGATTTTATAAAATACCATTGCCGTTTTTTGTTGCTTTTCCTCTATTCATAAACTAATGGTGGTTGTGTTTCAGTCATAATAACTATAGACATATGATCTGTTATTGGGAAGAAACAAGCGCGTACAACTTTTCTTGGTTTGTTCTTATTTTGAGGGATCCGTATAGCCGATTGGCATTTTCTTTCTAGTTCATACGCACACATACGCACATATATACATACATATGTACATACATATATCCAAGTTATGTCACCTGTTACCATATAATTTAAGTGTCTGGACATGGAGTGCTTGTATTTTTGCAGCTTATGTGAGATCCAACGAACTCATTGCCTTCTAACGGACAAATATTCATGTTCATATTGTATGTTTGGTAGGCCCAGGGCTGCCTCAATCTCATCATATATCACATGACGATATTTGATGCTTTTTGACTGGATTGCGAAAAGATATTAGATGACCTCTCAGCCATCAGGGGAGAACTTAGTACGACCAGTTGTAAACACTGTCCCTTGATGGTGTTTTATCTCCAAAAATCTAAACGAGTTCATCGATACACTGTTGCTGTATTAATCCCCGCCGAAACTTCCAAAAAATCAACTAACGAAAACCTTATTTTGAAATATAAATGGGGCTTTTTGTAGAGACGGACTGCGGTTCTGTGGGCGGGCGGAGGAAACCTCAGAGCACATTCTGTGTGATTGCCCGCGTATCATGAATAGCAAACTGATGCATCTTGGGGAATGAACACGGCACCCTCTAATGTGCTTAATTTCTTGAATAGCCTAAGGTTGGAGTGACTACAATAAGGGTTTAGCACAATAGATCTTTAAGGTCGCAGCGCGAGTATACCCGACGTACTATTTAAGTCAATAATTATTTTTTTGCTCTGCGCGTAAAACGTTCTGAGTATGTTTATGCTAAAAAATGTCAAAATTTTACGATGCAAACGTCAGACTAACGCAAATCACAATAGTTTTGCGAAATCTAAGAACTTATTTAGTGCCCTCGTATGTTTCGTAGAATTCGCATTATATACATACATACTTACCAATAGACAGACCAATCTCCTCTGCAATCTGCGACCAAACCTTCATTTTCACTTCGACATTCTTGTAATCGGGATTGTGTGTATTATAAACAACATCATACTTCTTGACGATATCAATGAATTCGGTTGTGTTGTCGGACGTCGTAGACGATTCACTAGCGCCGCGTGGAGTTTTCATATTTGAGTGCTCAATTATTTCACAATTATTATTTGACATTCAGCACAATGGTCTATAATCCGCTAAATTACTCGTTTCTATCAACGTGTAAGGAAAGTTTTTATTTTGATAACCAGCCAAGCATCATTTGTCACAATCGTTGTTATGCTCTGCTGTTATGGTTTATCGTAAATTTCAGCGAGTGCCCGGTTAGAGTTTATTACTTTTTTATTTTATTATTTATTAATTGTTTTGATAAGCACAAGTGGTAATGCATCGCGCGCACATTCCCATGCACACACTTGTTAGCGCGCACCTTCTTCGCACTTTGCGTTTACCGTATGTATGTATGTATATGTAGTTTGCAATTAGGCGTTATTAGCGAGCGTACACAATTATATATGTATTTATGTATGCATATTCATATGCAAGTATATTTGTATATACTCAAGCATGCACATATGCATCCAGGTATGTATGAAAATGCACGCTTGCAGGTATGTATGCTTTTAGTTGGATTTGATGGTCCTCAGCGCACGCAGACCACAGCCAGTAAATATCGATTGGCGTATATGTAGACGGCGGTGATACAGCAAGCACAGTGGCAATATTGGGACTGCTAGCCGCGACTGGTTGGCGGACAATGGCAACGGCACGAGTAACAGCAACGGGTCTGTAGCTACGGCTTCAACAGCGACGCAGATTATAACCACCAACAGCAGCACTAAAGGCAATTGCTGTGGCGATGATGGCAGCTGTAGCAGCACCACAAAAACAATAAAAAAACGGCAACTACGTCTTTATATGCCTGTATATATGTAAATACATATGTATATCCCCAGTTGGAGCGCCTTCAGCAAAGTTCATAAAGTGCCTATATGTAGCTGCACATTAATTCCAAACGATCTGTCCAGTATGTACCTATAAACATATAGTACTTTTTATATCACCGTCATAAACTTATGTATATAAGTATACAGACGCGTATATGATGTATAGTTACATCCATATAACATATGCAGGTATGTATGAATAACTACTATATGCACATACACACAGATAATAAATATATGTATCACTAGGCGCTCCCGTTTATTGTACCGCACTTGGCAATCAGCGGACTGACTGCTGCCGAACGTTGTGTGAATTTATCCGTACCGATGCGACCGCTCCGACAAAAGTTGGACACTTGAATGAGCTGAGCGCACGTACAACCACCGCGCAACGGTTCGACAGACACGAGCAGTGTAGAGACACAGACGGCACAGTGAACAGTGAACACACAAAAAAAGTAACAAACAAAAACAACAGCAGCAGCGGCGGCGGCAGCGGCAGCGACAGCGACAGTGACAGCAGAAGGCAGGCAGCTAGTCGGAGCAACAACAGCGCAATGCAGTACAAAAGCAACGATGATGCCAGTGTGACGACAAAAAGGCGGCCGCCAGCAACACCAACAGCCACAGCCACAGCCACACCATTACCATTACCATCGGTCGCAGCTGCAGCGCCAGCGCTAGCGTCATCACCAGCAGCGCCAGCAACAATAGCCCGGTAGTATGTCGGTGGAAGTGGAAAGCGGGTAAACAGGCGCAGGCAAGTAGCTATTGGAATAGTAGCGGCGCATTCCTAAAAAATCAACAGCAACAATAACAACAAGAATACATTTGTTGTGGTTAAGGCTGTGGCAGTCGGCGCAATGGCAGGGGCAGCAGCGGTAGTGGTGTGGATGTTGTTGACGATGATGACAATGACAATGATGTTGATGATGATGTTGGCGTGGATGATGGTTGGTTGCGACACTAGCGCTTGCACTAGCAGCGGCAACAGCCTTCATAGTAACACAGGTGACGTTGGATGACGATGGTGATATGGAGGTTTATGGTGGTATTGCTGATGATTTTGATGCTGCTATTGCACTGCTGCAGCTTAGTAGCGTAGGCGTTGCACTATAGACCTGGATTTACGCACTGTCTCAAAGCAAAACAAGCAACAGGAGTTATAGATGTACATAGTTGAAGTAGTGAAGGCGAGCGGTACATATGTATGAATATGTGTTAGACTAAATATGAACATACATATATACATACTTATGTAGATATAGGCATACATAAGAATACATACATACATATGTATATGTAATATTATTGAGAGCAACAACAACGACGTATACGGTGCACTACGCGTACACCGTTAAAACTCTACTGCGTTCCTTTAAATTACCTACATTTTGCTTTGCGCGCTACACAATGCGTCCGCCTCCACAAAAACACACACTCAACATAAAACGCCATCAGCAGCACACCCAACCGCCGCTACCATACCATCATGCAGTCGTTCGTTTGTTCGCTCATCAACGACATTCAACAACGGACACAGCAGTAAGCCAGCAAGCAAGCGAGCGCCGCGCTGCCAACTGCCATTTGTTCGATCCACCGCCAAGCAAACGACGACCCCAGCAAAGCAAGCACTAAACTCAACTAACAAATCGCCCAACCGAAGCTGCTAGCGCGCACTATACCGCCCCTGCCGCTTGCCTGCGCGCCACCGTGTGCTCCCTTTAATGCGTGGCTGTTGGTTGTGCGCCAGCCAAAGGCAGCCCAGCCACAGCCACAGCCACAGCCACAATCATGGCCGGGCAAGACAGGGCAGGGCAGTGCAAGGGGAGTAAAGCAGGCAGGCAGCCAAGCAAGCTAGCATGTACAGTTTCCCCACGTGCCGCCCGCTGTTGGCCGCAGGCTGGCTGGCGTAGCTGTATAAAGTGTACGTCGTGCAACGTACTTACATTTCAGTGTATGTATGTGTGTACACGAATATGTATATGTAGTGTGGATGTAAATTGGTGTGTATGTTCGCTTGTGTTCCGTCGATTCGCGCAAACTTCGCTTCGTAGCTGTTGTCGTTTTTATTGTTATTGTTGTCGTTCTTGCTTTTGTTGTCGTCGTCGTCGTCAAACGTCCCCCATCACCTAGTATCAACGCCAGCGCTACACTTTTCTACTCTTTGTGTTTGGCACATACCGCACCACACCACTCCACTCCACGCCTCGTCGCATCACGTCACGTCTTGCCACGCCACACCATCCCACCACCACCTCACTCCATTGTGTTAGTCAGCACATCGCATCCCTCCATGTAGCACTAGCTGCCGAGCCGCGTTTATGCATTTACCATGGATATGAGCGTACACATAAACATATACATACATATATACTTACTTACGCGCATATAGTTTTGCTTTAGCAGTATGCGCGCGCCTTTCGCTTCCTACTGCCGGCCGACCGACCGACCAGCAAGCACATAGCAATCCGGCCAACCAAGCGACCCTCCAATCGACCGACCAAACGACTGCTGATTACACTCACTGTAGATTCGTCGTCGTCGTCGTCGTCGTCGTCATTACACGTCGTGAAAACAGTCAGCCAGCCAGCAGGCAGGCAGGCAGGCAGGCAGGCGAGCAAGGAGGATAGGCAACTTTTAATGCTGCCACGGCGAAGGCAATGCTTGTAACATTGGCGATGACGATGGCTGCTGCTACTGCTGCTGTTGTTGCCACCGACGTACGTTCGTACGTATGCACATATGTGCGTGTGTGTGTATGTTTGGTCAAGCACGTCGGGCAGTGCGCTGATTTTCTGCACACAGCTAAGCACTGGAGTTTTCCACTATGTCGGCTTAGCTGTTACTTTGTTATTGTCTCCACTTGGCTGCGGTGCAAACAAACAGCAGTCCATCGTCCCCATCAGCAAATTCCAGTATTGAACGCTATCTGCAACACGGCCTGCTAACTGATAGATCCACAATCAAATCGCCATGAATTTGAAATTGTTAACAAAGGTTAATGTTTGTCTTACTACCGCTTTTGTGAATATATTGAGGATGTTATATTTAAATAAGATCAGTAGCCCGTCAATATCTGTTTAAGACCTCCATTTGCTTCACGTTTCGTTTCACTTTCTACAGCCGGCCGACCGTCCGGACAACCGATCTGATCTCGATCTATGCTTTATTTTTGAGTTGCAGATCGTTTGCTCGCGCTGTAGTGCGGTAGTGCGCAGTCGCACAAATTTTAACTCCTGATTGCAGAATTTATATGAAAGCTCAATTATGATTCTTAAATTTTTGGACTGGGCGCTCAGGCGGCTCCCTGTTTGTCAATTTGTTAGAGATCCTCGTGTTGTGTACGCCAAGTCCGCCATTGCCTTGGTAATACCGCTGCCCATGTGCACTTTTATCATCGAGTGGTTGGGCCTTGAAGCCACCGCTGCTGTTCTGTGCCACTGTGATTATCTTCTACGTTGAGCTGCGTTATATGCGTGTTATTTTTAGTCGCCAGTTACTGTTTTTCGCTTTGTTGTTTTTGTTCATACTTTGGGTTGTTTTTTTCTTTTCATTTCATTTATTTTTCACTTTTCGCCTACTATCCTCCATAACATGGATGTCGTCGCTTACCTTATGTGCTGTTGTCCAGCTTGAACGATGTCGTTCGTTGCCGCTCTTACCTTCTACCCTTCTGTCCTCACTTATCAGCATTATTGCGAGCGCTCTAAACACAAAAACTCGTCGTCGTTGTCGTCGCCGCCCGACCGTGCCCTATTTCATTTAGTTGCCTTGCCGTTCGCTACTCATTCGCCTCTTTTAGGTATGCCTGTTCGTTTTGTTTTTGGATTTGCTTGCGTTGGTAGCTACAGCCAACGCCAACACGACATTCAGAGTGCTCGTCGCCTGCTTATTGCCATTGCCATCACCACCACGGCCATACATCCATCCATCCATCCATCGATCTGAGCGTAGTTCTTGTCGCTGTCCGCTGCTGTACTACGATTTCAAATCTTCTGCCCCATCCATGCAGCCGCCTCTTCTTAGGTATTTCAATCTCTTAACTCCGTTGCCTCATATGATATTCGCTGTACACAAGCGCCCACAAATACACTGAAAAATCCTTACACACCGCTTTCTTTCGTCTCGACGACCGACCGATTTGCAGTCGCTTCACCGCAGTCCCCATATTGGCTCGACACGGCACAGCGCAGCATAGTACGGCATACCATCAACGTAGCGCGCACGCCAGCGTTCACGTTTGTGCGCACACTTCACCTCTCTGCGTGACGCTGACAACCGGCAGTGCCTGTACTTTGCTGTATTGTGCTGCTGTCGTCAGTCAGTCAATGGCTCCACTACGCCATACCAATGTGCATATGTATATACATACATATGTATGCACATACGGTGAACTCTGTATAGTGTCGTTGCTTGGATGATAGCTCTTTTTAGCAGTCGCCAAACCATGCCATCGTGATGCTTGTGTGTAGCGGCGTGTGTGCGCGGTGGCCTGATTGTGCTGCTTTTCACTGTTTTGCTGTTTTGTGCATCGAATACCGCACGTCCCACTACTGCGCCTACACAAGCGCGTGTATGTATACATTTGGTGTTGGACCCCGTCCGCCATTACCGTTTGGTGTAGCCTGTCAATCTGCGGCTGTAGCGTCGCCATCCTCACACTGCTACCGCTGCCGCCGCCATCGTTGCCGCTTTCGATGTTGCTGCGCATATTACCCTTCCCCCTTCTTTGCTCTTCGTTGTGCTACTGCTGTCGCCGTATCGCGCTACGGGGCGAACAAAAACCCAGCCAAGCGGTAACGGGTGAGGCGTGCGTCAATAGCGCTTGGAAAATAACAGAAGTAAAAAGAAAAAAAAAGTGTGAGAAACACAGCACTGCTTCAAAACCCAACAGCAAGAATAACAAGGAGTATCACAAAAACAACTACATTAAGCGAACGAGGGGAGCAGCGAACAAAAAAAAAACAAAATCTACTTACGAACATACCAACAAAGCAGCGCGCAAAAACAATAGGAAAAAAACAACATCAATAGCAAAGGCAGCAACAAAACGCGCACCTTCGTATGTACATACAGATGAATAGTCGTACATACACGCGAGTGCAAATACGTACGTATGTACATAAATATGTATGTGTATACCTAGCGTGAGTCTTCATGTTATGCCGAATCAACTGACGTTGTGACGTTGCTACGTTGCTGCTAGTCGTCCGTCGTCACAAAACATCGTTCGCGCTTTCGTTGCTGTACATGTTTTGGTTTTGCCGCCGTACTCGTCGTCATCGCCGACGCGTCGTCGTTGAAATGGTTAGCTGTGTGGTGGCATGACGCGGCAATGATGATTTTAGCCTGCCTACCAGTTACCCGGTCGGTCGGTCGGTCGTTTTGTCGTTTGGTTTGCTTGTAATTGCTTTTGTTGTTGTGTACTGGCTGGTTTTGATGCTTGTATGCCAAGCGGTCCCCAACAAGCGCGGCGCA